CAGTAACAGTGCTCACAGTAACAGAGCTCACAGTGACAGAGCTCACAGTAACAGAGCTCACAGTGACAGAGCTCACAGTAACAGAGCTCACAGTGACAGTGCTCACAGTAACAGTGCTCACAGTAACAGAGCTCACAGTAACAGAGCTCACAGTAACAGAGCTCACAGTGACAGAGCTCACAGTAACAGAGCTCACAGTAACAGAGCTCACAGTGACAGAGCTCACAGTGACAGAGCTCACAGTAACAGAGCTCACAGTAACAGAGCTCACAGTAACAGAGCTCACAGTAACAGTGCTCACAGTAACAGAGCTCACAGTAACAGAGCTCACAGTAACAGAGCTCACAGTGACAGAGCTCACAGTAACAGTGCTCACAGTAACAGAGCTCACAGTAACAGAGCTCACAGTAACAGAGCTCACAGTGACAGAGCTCACAGTGACAGAGCTCACAGTAACAGAGCTCACAGTAACAGAGCTCACAGTAACAGTGCTCACAGTAACAGAGCTCACAGTAACAGAGCTCACAGTAACAGAGCTCACAGTGACAGAGCTCACAGTAACAGAGCTCACAGTAACAGTGCTCACAGTAACAGAGCTCACAGTAACAGAGCTCACAGTAACAGAGCTCACAGTGACAGAGCTCACAGTAACAGAGCTCACAGTAACAGTGCTCACAGTAACAGAGCTCACAGTAACAGAGCTCACAGTAACAGAGCTCACAGTGACAGAGCTCACAGTGACAGAGCTCACAGTAACAGAGCTCACAGTAACAGAGCTCACAGTGACAGAGCTCACAGTAACAGTGCTCACAGTAACAGAGCTCACAGTAACAGAGCTCACAGTAACAGTGCTCACAGTAACAGAGCTCACAGTAACAGAGCTCACAGTGACAGAGCTCACAGTGACAGAGCTCACAGTGACAGAGCTCACAGTAACAGAGCTCACAGTAACAGAGCTCACAGTAACAGAGCTCACAGTGACAGAGCTCACAGTGACAGAGCTCACAGTGACAGAGCTCACAGTAACAGTGCTCACAGTAACAGAGCTCACAGTAACAGAGCTCACAGTAACAGAGCTCACAGTAACAGTGCTCACAGTAACAGAGCTCACAGTAAAAGAGCTCACAGTGACAGAGCTCACAGTAACAGAGCTCACAGTAACAGTGCTCACAGTAACAGAGCTCACAGTAACAGAGCTCACAGTAACAGTGCTCACAGTAACAGAGCTCACAGTAACAGTGCTCACAGTAACAGAGCTCACAGTAACAGAGCTCACAGTGACAGAGCTCACAGTAACAGAGCTCACAGTAACAGAGCTCACAGTGACAGAGCTCACAGTAGCAGTGCTCACAGTAACAGTGCTCACAGTAACAGAGCTCACAGTGACAGAGCTCACAGTAACAGAGCTCACAGTAACAGAGCTCACAGTAACAGAGCTCACAGTAACAGTGCTCACAGTAACAGAGCTCACAGTGACAGAGCTCACAGTAACAGTGCTCACAGTGACAGAGCTCACAGTAACAGAGCTCACAGTAACAGAGCTCACAGTACTCACAGTAACAGAGCTCACAGTAACAGAGCTCACAGTAACAGAGCTCACAGTAACAGAGCTCACAGTAACAGAGCTCACAGTAACAGAGCTCACAGTTACAGTGCTCACAGTAACAGAGCTCACAGTAACAGAGCTCACAGTAACAGAGCTCACAGTAACAGAGCTCACAGTAACAGAGCTCACAGTAACAGAGCTCACAGTGACAGAGCTCACAGTAACAGTGCTCACAGTAACAGAGCTCACAGTAACAGAGCTCACAGTAACAGAGCTCACAGTAACAGAGCTCACAGTAACAGAGCTCACAGTAACAGAGCTCACAGTAACAGAGCTCACAGTAACAGAGCTCACAGTAACAGAGCTCACAGTGACAGAGCTCACAGTGACAGTGCTCACAGTAACAGAGCTCACAGTGACAGAGCTCACAGTAACAGTGCTCACAGTAACAGAGCTCACAGTAACAGTGCTCACATTAACAGAGCTCACAGTAACAGTGCTCACAGTAACAGTGCTCACAGTAACAGAGCTCACAGTGACAGAGCTCACAGTAACAGTGCTCACAGTAACAGAGCTCACAGTGACAGTGCTCACAGTAACAGAGCTCACAGTAACAGAGCTCACAGTAACAGAGCTCACAGTAACAGTGCTCACAGTAACAGAGCTCACAGTAACAGAGCTCACAGTAACAGTGCTCACAGTAACAGTGCTCACAGTGACAGAGCTCACAGTAACAGAGCTCACAGTAACAGAGCTCACAGTAACAGAGCTCACAGTAACAGAGCTCACAGTAACAGAGCTCACAGTGACAGAGCTCACAGTAACTGAGCTCACAGTAACAGTGCTCACAGTAACAGAGCTCACAGTAACAGAGCTCACAGTAACAGAGCTCACAGTAACAGAGCTCACAGTAACAGAGCTCACAGTAACAGAGCTCACAGTAACAGAGCTCACAGTAACAGTGCTCACAGTAACAGAGCTCACAGTAACAGAGCTCACAGTAACAGTGCTCACAGTAACAGTGCTCACAGTAACAGAGCTCACAGTAACAGTGCTCACAGTAACAGAGCTCACAGTAACAGAGCTCACAGTAACAGAGCTCACAGTAACAGTGCTCACAGTAACAGAGCTCACAGTGACAGAGCTCACAGTGACAGAGCTCACAGTAACAGAGCTCACAGTAACAGTGCTCACAGTAACAGAGCTCACAGTAACAGAGCTCACAGTAACAGTGCTCACAGTAACAGTGCTCACAGTAACAGAGCTCACAGTAACAGAGCTCACAGTAACAGAGCTCACAGTAACAGTGCTCACAGTGACAGAGCTCACAGTAACAGTGCTCACAGTAACAGAGCTCACAGTAACAGAGCTCACAGTAACAGAGCTCACAGTAACAGAGCTCACAGTAACAGAGCTCACAGTAACAGAGCTCACAGTGACAGAGCTCACAGTAACTGAGCTCACAGTAACAGTGCTCACAGTAACAGAGCTCACAGTAACAGAGCTCACAGTAACAGAGCTCACAGTAACAGAGCTCACAGTAACAGAGCTCACAGTAACAGGGCTCACAGTAACAGAGCTCACAGTAACAGAGCTCACAGTAACAGAGCTCACAGTAACAGTGCTCACAGTAACAGAGCTCACAGTAACAGAGCTCACAGTAACAGTGCTCACAGTGACAGAGCTCACAGTAACAGAGCTCACAGTAACAGTGCTCACAGTAACAGAGCTCACAGTAACAGAGCTCACAGTAACAGAGCTCACAGTGACAGAGCTCACAGTAACTGAGCTCACAGTAACAGTGCTCACAGTAACAGAGCTCACAGTAACAGAGCTCACAGTAACAGAGCTCACAGTAACAGAGCTCACAGTAACAGAGCTCACAGTAACAGTGCTCACAGTGACAGAGCTCACAGTAACAGTGCTCACAGTAACAGAGCTCACAGTGACAGAGCTCACAGTAACAGAACTCACAGTAACAGAGCTCACAGTAACAGTGCTCACAGTAACAGTGCTCACAGTAACAGAGCTCACAGTAACAGTGCTCACAGTAACAGCGCTCACAGTAACAGTGCTCACAGTGACAGAGCTCACAGTAACAGAGCTCACAGTAACAGTGCTCACAGTGACAGAGCTCACAGTAACAGTGCTCACAGTAACAGTGCTCACAGTAACAGTGCTCACAGTAACAGAGCTCACAGTGACAGAGCTCACAGTAACAGAGCTCACAGTAACAGAGCTCACAGTGACAGTGCTCACAGTGACAGAGCTCACAGTAACAGAGCTCACAGTAACAGAGCTCACAGTAACAGTGCTCACAGTAACAGAGCTCACAGTAACAGAGCTCACAGTGACAGAGCTCACAGTCACAGTGCTCACAGTAACAGAGCTCACAGTGACAGAGCTCACAGTAACAGAGCTCACAGTAACAGAGCTCACAGTGACAGTGCTCACAGTGACAGAGCTCACAGTAACAGTGCTCACAGTGACAGAGCTCACAGTAACAGTGCTCACAGTAACAGAGCTCACAGTAACAGTGCTCACAGTAACAGTGCTCACAGTAACAGTGCTCACAGTGACAGAGCTCACAGTAACAGAGCTCACAGTGACAGACTACATCTTTTGTAACATTATAAATGTCTTTACTGTCACTTTTGATCAATTTAATACGTCCTTGATGAAAAAAAGTATTAATTAAATAAAATTAAAAAACAATATTACTGACCCATTGAAATAAGAAACTAACAAATTGTTTTGCCACTGGGAAATTTTATTTAAGATTGTTTTTCAAGAATATATATATATATATATATATATATATATATATATATATATATATATATATATATATATATATATTCTTTAAAAACAATCTTAATTTCATATGCACATTTGCTTCTTAAGTAAATGTATGGTATTTAATGAATCTTGAGCTGTTTATTTATCTTGTTTATTGTTTTTAGCTGTAAAATTCTCATATTATGTGTGAAACATTCCAGTTATGGATATTAAGATAACAGATATAAATCTGATCATATTGTGGTCGTATGATTTAGTCTTTGGTGAATTCACATCATTTTTGAAGCCAAACTGCAGCTGATTAAATCAGTCAAAGATCTGTGGACTCATCATGTTAAGATACGAGGCTTGTACACAAACGTCTGCTGTGAATGTTTACTGCCCATGGGCTGCGTAGTGTAGCAAACCTGTTATAGCTGTGTTGTAGCACGCATTGCTCATGAAAGAGTAGTTTGATGGCATTACAGTATGTTGAAGCTTTGTAGATCCGGTGCTTAAAGCCACAAATGTCCGTCATAAGCAGATGTTCAGTCTGTCACACACACCATCACACACTTCTTCCCCATTCCATATAGCACTTCATATTCTTCATGAGCTGAACACACTGGAGGATGGAGATGAATGTGTATTAATTAAGGCTGTTTTTGTCTTTCAGGGACGTCCAGGGAACGACGGAGCCGCTGTAAGTATCTTCTGATCAGATACCATAGAGTTATGAAATACAAAACAATTAGATGTCAAAAATGGAAAAGGAATAATGAGCATTTATTATCGATATACTCTACCGTTCAAAAGTTTGCAGGACTTTTCAGCATCAAACCTTTTATGTGCCACTTTATCATTTCATACTGAATTGAATTGAATTGTATACTGACTTCATTTGCCCACTGTAGACTGTGAGTCGTTTTTAAAGCTCCGTCCAGGGGTCGTGACCTCAGTGTCCTTCTGCTTGATCTGATGCTGTTGCCCTGGTTCTTCCTTTTAAACCAACATTGATGAATTTGAACTTTGTTTTGTTCCTTTTCCATCACATGCAGGGAGAGGTTGGACCTCCGGGGTTCCCGGGCCTTCATGGAGATCCGGGTCCTAAAGGTGACAAGGTACGACACACGTTTGCTTAACAAACCTATAAGTGCCAGAAGTACAAACTCCATTCATTTTCTCCATGATAATGTATAACTCTTGAAAGACAGCCTTATTTATCGAGCTATGAGGTTGTTCATTGATGGAATATTCATGTGCTAAAGCCATCCGTTCAACTTATTTTTTTAAATAATCGTCTTGAGCAGCTGAATTTGAAATTTCATTCTCAAAACACTTTTTTAACATCCGAATGGGAGGAATGAAGGAATGTTTCGCTGAAACTCTGTTGAACTCTCTTGACTGCTGACCTGATGATTTTAGACCGATCACGGCAAACTCATTGCTTGTTCACTAGGGCGATCCAGGTGTGGGCATCACAGGGCCTCCAGGACCTCCGGGGCCGCCAGGACGTCCAGGGGCGTTCAAGTATCCGGTATGTGCATGATTATGTACACGTTTATATAATTATCTATGTCACTGAATAACTCTAAAACAGGACAAGCTCACTGAGGCTTTCTCTCGTGCAGGACGGCACTGACGGCTCGGGCTCCAGTTACCTGGACTTGGACAGTGACACAGAGGTGATACGGGTGAGTTATAGTCCTGTTATAATGAAGTTGTCTTTGCTGATGTGACCTCTTGATTCCTGGGTTGAAATAATCAAAGGAGTTGGATTCCATGCGGAATGAACGGCTATAAGTCAACGCTTAAAATGGTGACATAAAATGATTTAACACTGAACAGAATGAAACATGAGGTAGTCATTATATAAATGTGTTAGATATGAATTGCAAGACAGCTAATTAGATTAATATCCTTGTTTTGCTGGATTCCCACCAGGGTCCTCCAGGGCCTCCGGGTCGTCCGGGTCCTCCTGGTCCTTCTATCGGAGCTCAGCCAGGGCCAGTCGGGCCCCCAGGGGCTCCTGGGAAGGATGGGGAGATAGGCAAACCGGGACTATCGGTGAGTAAAGGATCTTGAACTGCGCTGCATCACAGAAATAACAACCAACGGGATCTAAACAAGCCGTTACAGAGCTATCTTTCAAACTAAGCTAAAGTTCACTATAACATCTATGTTCTGATATTATTTACTCGTCCACACGCCTCACGAATAAACAGTTTGATTTTATTTTTCCTGTGCAGTAATGAAATCAAATCAGCAAGTAATGATGCTGAAAATTCAGCTTTGATCACAGGAATTAATTACACTTTACTATATATTCACATAGAAAACAATGAAGCTGAATCTTTTATTTCAAGGCCAACACCTTGACCCATTGAGTTTGGGTCTGGATCTGAGTTTGGGTCTGGATCTGACTTTGGGTCTGGATCTGAGTTTGGGTCTGCATCTGAGTTTGGGTCTGGATCTGAGTTTGGGTCTGCATCTGAGTTTGGGTCTGGATCTGAGTTTGGGACTGGATCTGAGTTTGGGTTTGGATCTGAGTTTGGGTCTGGATCTGAGTTTGGGTCTGCATCTGAGTTTGGGTCTGGATCTGAGTTTGGGTCTGCATCTGAGTTTGGGTCTGGATCTGAGTTTGGGTCTGCATCTGAGTTTGGGTCTGGATCTGAGTTTGGGACTGGATCTGAGTTTGGGTTTGGATCTGAGTTTGGGTCTGGATCTGAGTTTGGGTCTGCATCTGAGTTTGGGTCTGGATCTGAGTTTGGGTCTGCATCTGAGTTTGGGTCTGGATCTGAGTTTGGGTCTGCATCTGAGTTTGGGACTGGATCTGAGTTTGGGTTTGGATCTGAGTTTGGGTCTGGATCTGAGTTTGGGTCTGCATCTGAGTTTGGGACTGGATCTGAGTTTGGGTTTGGATCTGAGTTTGGGACTGGATCTGAGTTTGGGTCTGGATCTGAGTTTGGGTCTGGATCTGAGTTTGGGTCTGCATCTGAGTTTGGGTCTGGATCTGAGTTTGGGTCTGCATCTGAGTTTGGGTCTGGATCTGAGTTTGGGACTGGATCTGAGTTTGGGTTTGGATCTGAGTTTGGGACTGGATCTGAGTTTGGGTCTGGATCTGACTTTGGGTCTGGATCTGAGTTTGGGTCTGCATCTGAGTTTGGGTCTGGATCTGAGTTTGGGTCTGCATCTGAGTTTGGGTCTGCATCTGAGTTTGGGTTTGGATCTGAGTTTGGGTCTGCATCTGAGTTTGGGTTTGGATCTGAGTTTTTAGCAAAGCACTAGACTTCATTATCCAGATCAGGAAAAAGTAGTTTCCTATCGAGGGAACTCGCGCTGCGTCACTGAGGACACTCTGGGGAATCCCCTCAGCGTCAGCGCTCCTGAAGCACGTGTGCAACTTAGTCCATATTTTAATTGGTGCAACGTCATCCCATGACGCCTGTTTAAGATGGTGACGATCCCTCTTATCGTGAGCCAAATCAAGTCCGAGGACTGGTTTGTCACGATAGATCTAAAGGATGCGTTTTTCCATATCTCCATCCTACCGAAACACAGGAAGTTCCTGAGGTTTGCTTTCGGGGGCAAAGCGTACCAATACCGGGTTCTTCCTTTTGACCTAGCATTATCCTCACGCACCTTCACGGAATATATGGACGCAGCCCTGGCACCACTCAGACTCCAGGGTATAAGAGTTCTCAATTACATAGACGACTGGGTAATACTAGCACAGTCTCAGGAGATGTCGTGCTCGACCACATGTAGTGCTTGGGGCTGAGGCTCAACGCGAAGAAGAGCATGCTCACTTCTGTCCAACGGACGACATATTTAGAAGTAGTGTGGGACTTGGTCACGATGCCGGCACAGTTGTCTCCAGCGAGTATCGAGTCGATTCTGGCCCTGGTGTCCAGAATAAAGCAAGGCCAACGCATCACGGTGCAGACGGTGCAACTAATCTGGAGGAAGTTTGGCCAGTGGGACATAGATCTGTTTGCGTCACAAGAGAACTCACATTGTCCCCTCTGGTTTTCCCTCACTCATCCAGCTCCTCTGGGACTGGACGCTATGGTAAGCCTTGGCCGAAGCTTCGGCTGTACGCATTTCCCCTGATCGCTCTGCTCCCGGGAGTTCTAGATAGAGTTCGCCAGGGCGGGGATCAACTCCTATTAGTAGCCCGCTCTGGCTGGCCCTAGTGTGGTTTTCAGACCTGATAGCCCTCCTGGAAGCCCCCCGTGGGAGATTCCCGTCAGGAGGGACCTCATAACACATGCCTAACACAGGCCGGGGCTCGATATTACAACCCCCGGTCGGAGATGTTGAAATTGTGGGTTTGGCCTCACGAATAAACAGTTTGATTTTATTTTTCCTGTGCAGTAATGAAATCAAATCAGCAAGTAATGATGCTTAAAATTCAGCTTTGATCACAGGAATTAATTACACTTTACTATATATTCACATAGAAAACAATGAAGCTGAATCTTTTATTTCAAGGCCAACACGTGTGAGTTTGGGTCTGGATCTGAGTTTGGGTCTGGATCTGAGTTTGGGTCTGGATCTGAGTTTGGGTCTGCATCTGAGTTTGGGTCTGGATCTGAGTTTGGGTCTGCATCTGAGTTTGGGACTGGATCTGAGTTTGGGTTTGGATCTGAGTTTGGGTCTGGATCTGAGTTTGGGTCTGCATCTGAGTTTGGGACTGGATCTGAGTTTGGGTCTGGATCTGAGTTTGGGTCTGCTTCTGAGTTTGGGTCTGGATCTGAGTTTGGGACTGGATCTGAGTTTGGGTCTGGATCTGAGTTTGGGACTGGATCTGAGTTTGGGTCTGGATCTGACTTTGGGTCTGGATCTGAGTTTGGGTTTGGATCTGAGTTTGGGTCTGGATCTGAGTTTGGGACTGGATCTGAGTTTGGGTCTGGATCTGACTTTGGGTCTGGATCTGAGTTTGGGTTTGGATCTGAGTTTGGGTTTGGATCTGAGTTTGGGTTTGGATCTGAGTTTGGGTCTGGATCTGAGTTTGGGTCTGGATCTGAGTTTGGGACTGGATCTGAGTTTGGGTCTGGATCTGAGCCGGTCTCAGCTGAGGTAGAGCTCCTGGTCCCAGATGGTAAACTCAAACCATGGGCCAGAAAGGCAGTTATTTCCTCCCATCATGTTCCATACACACATACTTTAAATCTCAACACACACCCAAACGCTTTTGCTTTCATCACACTCCCCCTTTTGAACAGATAATCACCTCAGATAATGAAGTGTTTATGTTGAGGAAGTGTCATGTGAAAATGCGTTTGTCATGATGCAGAAAACTAGTTCTGACTCTATAAGGGACTTTTATCCAAATTTTATCCAAAAATACATGCCATAGTTTTTTTAGCAAAGCACTAGACTTCATTATCCAGATCAGGAAAAAGTAGTTTCCTATCGAGGGAACTCGCGCTGCTTCACTGAGGACACTCTGGGGAATCCCCTCAGCGTCAGCGCTCCTGAAGCACGTGTGCAACTTAGTCCATATTTTAATTGGTGCAACGTCATCCCATGACGCGTGTTCAAGATGCTGACGATCCCTCTTATCGTGAGCCAAATCAAGTCCGAGGACTGGTTTGTCACGATAGATCTAAAGGATGCGTTTTTCCATATCTCCATCCTACCGGAACACAGGAAGTTCCTGAGGTTTGCTTTCGGGGGCAAAGCGTACCAATACCGGGTTCTTCCTTTTGACCTAGCATTATCCTCACGCACCTTCACGGAATATATGGACGCAGCCCTGGCACCACTCAGATATTATATACCCATTATATGGGATATATACCCTCCGTCAGGAGGGACCTCATAACACATGCCTAAAACAGGCCGGGGCTCAATATTACAACCCCCGGTCGGAGATGTTGAAATTGTGGGTTTGGCCCCTGAGGGGGATCAGTTCCTGAACGCTGGTCTCTCTACTGAGGTAGTGGAGACCAACCTAAATTCTAGTGGAGAGTATTCACTTCATGGCGTAGAGAGCACCAGTTGGACCCCGTTAACTGCCCAGTGGCTTCAGTGCTGGAGTTCCTGCAGTGTCGTTTCTCTGCCAGCCTCTCTACACGTAAGGTGTATGCGATGGCGGTTGCTGACTTCCATGTCCCCCTGGATGGCAGCTCGCTGGGAAGGCATCATCTTGTTACACGTTTCCTCCGTGGTACCCGGAGGATGAGGCCTCTGGCTCAGGTAAGGATACCTGCATGGGACCTAACCATGGTGTTAGAAGGGTTAACCTACGAGCCTTTGGACACGGCATCAGACAAGTGTCTAGCCTTACAAATGGCATTTTTGCTGGGAATGTCGTCTCATAGGAGAGTAGGAGACGTGCAGGCCTTGTTGCTTGCTCCCTCCTGTTTAGAATTCTCTCCAGGAGGAGTGAAGGCTATTCTTTACCCAAGACCGGGTTATGTACCTAAGGTACCTACTAATGTGGCCCGGCCGGTGGTCCTTCAGGCCTCCCACCCTCCTCAAGTGTCGGCGGAACGAGATGTCCAAGATATATGTGATACGGCGGAATGGTCCTCGTCACACACCTTTGTTAGATTGTATAGCCTGGACCTTCCGGCCAGGCCCTGGGCATCCCTTCTCAGGGAACCGTGGTTACATGGGTAACCTGAGACGTTTTTTTGATGATGATTTCCAGGGTGTTACTATGCTATATTTAAATGGAAATGTAATTTTGAGAAGATTACATTGTTTCGAATGAAATCAGAGCATTTGGATCATAAAATCACAGTGCTCTTGAACACAGATACTGTTCATTTAATGATCACTTAATTAAAGGCCTTCAGATGCGTTGGCATTGCCATTCCAGGGTTATTACAGTTCTGTGAAACATGACATTACACAGTTATCCAGACCTCCAGATTGATGTAATTGTTCCCAAATGTTTTGTCTTGGGTGAAAATCAGATAGCGTATTAATCCAATAAAGCTTTCAGATGAACACTGGCCTGTAAAGCGGTGCATCGAGCCCAGATCCGCCCGCAGGAGCGTGATGGACTAACATTCATGTCTTCTGCATATGAACTGATATTGATCTGCTCAGCTCGAATCATGGAACATGAACGCTTCCGTTACGATGGGGGAAACTGTCTTTTGAATCGCGGCCTAACCTTACACTTCAACTAACTCCCCGTTTCCGGCTTAAAGCCAACGCTTGTGTTAACCCTGCGGTGTAATATCATGAGTGTTTCAGCCTGAGTGAAGAAATGACAGTGAGAAGTGTGAAAACACTCTTCAGATTGCTGTTAGATCTGTTCTTAGTGTGTGTGTGTGTGTGTGTGGTCCTAATGTGCTGATTTCTGTCGCTTTAGGGTGCTAATGGACGAGACGGGAAACCTGGGAAAGACGGAGAAAAAGGGCAAACGGTAAGATGTGTTTTATACTGTAGTAAATATGGCAAGGTTATAACCTACGTTTTTTTTTGCATTTGTCTTTACCACTGTTTGTTGATTTTAGTCATTATTTAATTCTGTGTTTTCTGTATTTCTCTCTAAGTATCTTTGAAAATTTAGTTTTGTGATTATTATACATAAATATTTGAGTGGTCCGATTATTACCTTCCACAGATAATTTCTGTTTAAACTAAAAATGTCGTCATGTGCCGCTCCAAACTGGGAGAAGCTGTTTTCTAGGCAGGGGTTTTGAACACGTCTTGTGTTTTTTGGCAGGGTGACGCAGGTTTACCTGGAATCATTGGACCAAAGGTAATTTCCTTCAGATGATTGTGATGTTTCAGATCCGCAGTGTTGGGGAAGATATGTTGCCACTGTAACTACTTCAAATTATGAGTGAGCAAGTCTGAGATGTTCTGTGAAGTAACTTCAGAGCTGCTGTGTGTGTGTGTGTGTGTGTGTCCCTCAGGGAGATCCAGGGGTCCCGGGACAGCGAGGGCCTGAGGGAGCTGAGGGCCCCAGAGGACCCCCCGGACCCCCCGGACCAGCGGGGAAACCCTTCAGCTTCGACATGATGGTGTGTTTCACCTTCAGACCTCAGTCTCTATGTTTAGCTGCTTAAAGTCAAGGGATGGATTAAGAATATGCATGCATGTATGTATTTGTTTGTTTGTTTATTTATTTTACTCATTTATTCTAACTTGTTTATTTATTTATTTATTTTTACTTATTGTTTTCCATTCTTTTATGTATTTATCATTTTATTATTTATTAATCATTCATTATTTTAGTTATTAATTCATTCATGTATTCTTTGTTATTTATTATTTTATTTCATATATTTATAATTATTTATTTATTTATTTTATTTTTTAATTGTATTTATTTATTCTTTGTTTACATGCGAGTGCTGGATGTTTTATTAAAGAAGTAGAACTTTGTTTTTGTTCGCATATGTTACTTGCGTCATATATTAGATTTTGTGTAAAGAACTGAAAACACATGAAAGTAAAGTTGGTACTTGCAGTTGAAAGTTGCATTTCGAGTTGAATTGAGCCGTTTGAAACCTGTAGCAATGTTTTCTGGTTCTGTTTCTGCTGGTTTCTTCAGGATTTGGAGGGCTCAGGCCTGGATGGAGACAGTGGCTTCAGACCGGTGCTGCCCAGAGGACCACCCGTACGTACATGAACACTCAGAGTGTCTTCTGTGTGTTTCAGCCGAACTGCAGCTCATTCTCATGCATGTTCTCTCCCTCAGGGTCTTCCCGGGATCCCCGGACCCCCCGGACCACAGGTACCGGCACTGATGCAGATCTGCACCAAAACAAATCATGATCGGTCAATACTCTGCCAATCTGCCATGTGATTTTACCCATCATTCCCAGGGTTCTTATACATTTAGAGAATGCATATCTGTCTTATAACCCTTCATTAGAGTCAGATGTGTAAACCTTAGATTTGTTCCTCTACACTCTGATTAAATGAACACAACTCTACACTTTTAGGGGAAAGACGGAGCCGACGGCCCTCCGGGTGTTCCAGTGAAGGTCTGTTCTCCTCACACACAAAAACATCATCACGTTCATACACACACTTCCACAACTGTTTCCATTCCCGCTTTCCAAAGGGAGCCTGCTGTTCCCGGCCATGTGTTCCCCATTATCCTGCAGTGTTCTCTAACACATGTGTGCGGGTCAGTGGAACCCAGTTTCAACCCCTTCCTCTCCGTGTAGTTCAGAGGAGAATACACATTATAATGGCTTTATATTACATCATACACTAAGCTGCAGAAGTTGGATTCAGGAATTGATCAGTGAAATAAGATTCCACTTAATAAATTGCTTCCATGATACGCCATTAATTTAGCATCACAAATTCATAGAAGTTCTGCGCAGGAGAACTACGTTATATATTATTTTTTATATATTATATAAATATTATAAGACTTCTGATACGCGTTAGTGCCACACAGACATTCATTTAACACGTGATTTAACATGTAAAGCTTGTAACATTGCGTGATCATGTCTCCTCCACTCCACTAGGGGGAGCCGGGTGCCGACGGAGCCGATGGACAGCCCGGGTCACCTGGACACCCTGGGCTACAAGTAAATATGCAAAACAAAATACGTTATATAAATTTGTGCAATCTATTCATTCTTTTCCCATCGACTTATACATCCTTTTTATAAAAAAAAAAAAAAACATCTAGAAATTTTTCAAATGTGAATTTGTTTCTAATTAGCTTTTTTTTTTTTTTTTTTTTTAGGGTGAAAGGGGAGAGAAAGGTGATTCGGGTCAGAAGGTTTGTAGCTAATTCTCCTTTCTGACGTCTCTCTCTCAGAGCCGCCATGTCTGCTCTGATGCTGATGGTGGATGTGTGTGTTTCAGGGAGAGAGAGGCCTGGATGGAGTGAGTTTACCTGGCCCTCCCGGGCCCCCGGGCCCCGTCTTCAGCCTGCATGAGGTGAGGACATTAATGCCTGCACTTATTTAAAGGTCACACTGGATTCATTCATCTGACAGGGCTGGGTGTTAATTACAGTGAACTCTTTCTCGCCCTCAGTTAATGCTCAACGACACTGAAGGGATCTTCAACCTCTCTGGGGCTTTTGAAGCACAAGGTCCACTGGTAAGAAGCTTCTCAGAACTCCCTCGTCTCATGTCCACAGCCCGAGCGTCCGGAAAGCTCGAGGACCCTTCAAAACAGAAACATCATCTTGTTTAATCATCTTTATACTGTGACCCTGAAGTGCAACTGAAAATCACAAATTAGAAAAGACAGCAGTGAATTAAAAAGACAACAACGAATCAGAAAAGAAAACAAATCAATTGAATCAGAAAAGACAACATTGAATAAAAAAAACATTGAATCAGAAAACACATTGAATCAAAAAAACATTAAATCAGAAAAGACAATATTGAACCAGAAAACACATCAGTGAATCAGAAAAGACAACATTGAATCAAAAAAACATTGAATCAAAAAAAAAAACATTAAATCAGAAAAGACAATATTGAATCAGAAAACACATCAGTGAATCAGAAAAGACAACATTGAATCAAAAAAACATTGAATCAAAAAAAACATTAAATCAGAAAAGACTATATTGAACCAGAAAACACATCAGTGAATCAGAAAAGACAATATTGAATCAAAAAAACATTGAATCAAAAAACATTGAAGAAAAAAACATTGAATCAAAAAAATATTGAATCAAAAAACATTGAATCAAAAAAATATTGAATAAAAAAACATTGAATAAAAAACATTGAATCAAAAAACATTGAATCAAAACAACATTGAATCAAAAAACATTGAATCAAAAAAAAAACATTAAATCAGAAAAGACAATATTGAACCAGAAAACACATCAGTGAATCAGAAAAAACAACATTGAATCAAAAAAACATTGAATAAAAAAAAAACATTAAATCAGAAAAGACAATATTGAATCAGAAAACACATCAGTGAATCAGAAAAGACAACATTGAATCAAAAAAACATTGAATCAAAAAAACATTAAATCAGAAAAGACTATATTGAACCAGAAAACACATCAGTGAATCAGAAAACACATCAGTGAATCAGAAAAGACAATATTGAATCAAAAAAACATTGAATCAAAAAACATTGAAGAAAAAAACATTGAATCAAAAAAATTTTGAATCAAAAAACATTGAATCAAAAAATATTGAATCAAAAAAACATTGAATAAAAAACATTGAATCAAAACAACATTGAATCAAAAAACATTGAATAAAAAAAAATTGAATCTAAAAACAACATTGAATAAAAAAACATTGAATAAAAAAACATTGAATCAGAAAAGACAACATTGAAGAAAAAAATTGAATCTAAAAACAACATTGAATAAAAAAACATTAAATAAAAAAAAACATTGAATCAGAAAAGACAACATTGAATAAAAAAAACATTGAATCAGAAAAGACAACATTGAATAAAAAAAACATTGAATCAGAAAAGACAACATTGGATCAAAAAACATTGAATAAAAAAAGACAACATTGAATAAAAAAACACTGAATCAGAAAACACATCAGTGAATCAGAAAAGACAACATTGAATCAGAAAACACATCAGTGAATCAGAAAAGACAACATTGAATCAAAAAACATTGAATCAAAAAAACATTGAATCAAAAAACATTGAATCGAAAAACAACATTGAATAAAAAAAAGTTGAATCTAAAAACAACATTGAATAAAAAAACATTGAATCAGAAAAGACAACATTGAATAAAAAAACATTGAATCAGAAAAGACAACATTGAATAAAAAAACATTGAATCAGAAAAGACAACATTGAATAAAAAAAAACATTGAATCAGAAAACACATCAGTGAATCAGAAAAGACAACATTGAATCAGAAAACACATCAGTGAATCAGAAAAGACAACATTGAATCAGAAAACACATCAGTGAATCAGAAAAGACAACATTGAATCAAAAAAACATTGAATCAAAAAACATTTAATCGAAAAACAACATTGAATAAAAAACATTGAATAAAAAAACATTGAATCAGAAAAGACAACATTGAATAAAAAAATTGAATCTAAAAACAACATTGAATAAAAAAACATAAAAAAAACATTGAATCAGAAAAGACAACATTGAATAAAAAAACATTGAATCAGAAAAGACAACATTGAATAAAAAAAACATTGAATCAGAAAACACATCAGTGAATCAGAAAAGACAACATTGAATCAGAAAACACATCAGTGAATCAGAAAAGACAACATTGAATCAGAAAACACATCAGTGAATCAGAAAAGACAACATTGAATCAAAAAAACATTGAATCAAAAAACATTGAATCGAAAAACAACATTGAATAAAAAAAGTTGAATCTAAAAACAACATTGAATAAAAAAACATTGAATCAGAAAGGACAACATTGAATAAAAAAAACATTGAATCAGAAAAGACAACATTGAATAAAAAAAAACATTGAATCAGAAAAGACAACATTGAATAAAAAAAACATTGAATCAGAAAACACATCAGTGAATCAGAAAAGACAACATTGAATAAAAAAACATTGAATAAAAAAAACATTGAATAAAAAACATTGAATCTAAAAACAACATTGAATAAAAAAAACAAATCGAAAAACAACATTGAATAAAAATACATTGAATCAGAAAAGACAACATTAAATAAATAAAAACATTGAATCAAAAAAACATTGAATCAGAAAAGACAACATTAAATAAATAAAAACATTGAATCAAAAAAACATTGAATCAAAAAACAACATTGAATCAAAAAAACATTGAATCGAAAAACAAAATTGAATAAAAAAAACATTGAATCGAAAAACAACATTGGATCAAAAAACATTGAATAAAAAAAGACAACATTGAATAAAAAAACATTGAATCAGAAAACACATCAGTGAATCAGAAAAGACAACATTGAATAAAAAAACATTGAATAAAAAAACATTGAATAAAAAAAACATTGAATCAAAAAACATTGAATCAAAAAACAACATTGAATAAAAAAAACAAATCGAAAAACAACATTGAATAAAAAAACATTGAATCAGAAAAGACAACATTAAATAAATAAAAACATTGAATCAAAAAAACATTGAATCAAAAAACAACATTGAATCAAAAAAACATTGAAACGAAAAACAAAATTGAATAAAAAAAACATTGAATCGAAAAACAACATTGGATCAAAAAACATTGAATAAAAAAAGACAACATTGAATAAAAAAAACATTGAATCAAAAAACATTGAATCAAAAAACAACATTGAATAAAAAAACAAATCGAAAAACAACATTGAATAAAAAAACATTGAATCAGAAAAGACAACATTAAATAAATAAAAACATTGAATAAAAAAAACATTGAATCGAAAAACAACATTGAATAAAAAAACATTGAATAAAAAAACATTGAATCAGAAAAAACAACATTGAATAAAAAACTAATCGAAAAACAACATTGAATAAAAAAAACATTGAATCGAAAAACAACATTGAATGAAAAAACACTGAATAAAAAAACATTGAATCAGAAAAAAACAACATTGAATAAAATAAAATAAAAAATTAAAAAATTGAATCGAAAAAAAACATTGAATCGAAAAAAACATTGAATCGAAAAAAACATTGAAGCAGAAAACAACATTGAAGCAGAAAACAACATTGAATTGAACAGCGAATCAGAAAACACACACAACAGGAGTATATCTACTGTATCAGTGGCTAAATTCAATGCATGTTGTCTGACTTTCTTTGGCCACCCTGAATATCATTTTGCAGCATTATTAATATTATTAAAGAAGCAATTATTATGAAGATTCACTTTTAAACTAAAAAAATGTATCCATTATGAAATCCAGAAGGGACATGTAACAGAAGTAAAGTAATTGTCCCTGTTTGTATGGTGGAATATACATTCAATATAAGCTTAGCAAGAATGAAATATCACTTATTGTTTTAGGTCTTAAAACACGCGTGTCATCTTGTGCTTTCCAGCGTTCCAGACGTTATGTTCAGGATTTTTAATTCCCAAACTGCTTCCCGCAGAGAAAGGCTCAGTAAGACGAGTTTAGAGTCACTGAAAGCCACACACACACACACACGCTCACAGCGCAGGAGTGCAAACACTGCAGTGTAATTGCATTATTTACAATAATCATTGAATTCTGCGTTGAGCCGCCTGTGAAATTGCATTTTAAACGATTACACACATCAGCTGTGCTTTACTGTGGCCCTCACCGGCACTGGCAGCTGTGTGTGTGTGTGTGTGTGTGTGTGTGTGTGTGTGTGTGTGTGTGTGTGTGTGTGTGTGTGTGTGTGTGTGTGTGTGTGTGTGTTTCTGCTCCAGTGTCAGGCTCGCAGATCTGGAGATGTCATGCCACGAAACACACACTCATTACAGCGTTCAAACGTGTGGTTGGAGATAATAACACACACATCGTCTCAGCCACGAAAACACACTCGATGTTGTGATGGAACATTTAACTGCAACAATTACTGGAATTATGTGTTTAAGCATCTGAAATTAAATATATTTTTAAGTTAATAACGTGATTATAGTTGAGAGCTTCGGGTTTTGGATCATTTGGATATTTGTGTGGGTTTTGCACTTCAGAAAATGTTTTGATCGAGTTTAATTACATTACAGCAACGATGACAAAATGAAGAAATGAGTTCTGTTTTGATCCCCAGGGTCCGAGAGGTCCGAAGGGTGACAGCGGGGCCCCGGGGGTCCAGGGGTCAAAGGTGAGAGAGCAGACCAGACTACGTGTGTGTGTGTGAGTGAGTGTGAGTGAGTGTGTGTGGGTGTGTGTGTGTGTGTGTGTGTGTGTGTGTGTGTGTGAGTGAGTGTGAGTGAGTGTGTGTGGGTGTGTGTGTGTGTGTGTGTGTGTGTGTGTGTGAGTGAGTCTGTGAATGTGTGTGTGTGAGTGTGTGTGTGTGTGAGTGTGAGTGAGTGTGTGTGAGTGTGAGTGTGTGTGTGAGTGTGTGTGTGTGTGTGTGTGTGAGTGAGTGAGTGTGAGTGAGTGTGTGAGTGTGTGAGTGAGTGAGTCTGTGAAAGTGTGTGTGTGTGTGTGTGTGTGTGTGAGAGAGATAGAGAGTCAGTGTCTGAGTGAGTGTGAGTGTGTGTGTGAGTGAGTGTGAGTGTGTGTGTGTGTGTGAGTGTGTGAGTGTGTGTGTGTGTGTGTGTGTGTGAGTGTGTGTGTGTGTGTGTGTGTGTGTGTGTGTGTGTGAGTGTGAGTGTGTGTGTGTGTGTGTGTGTGTGAGTGTGTGTGTGTGTGTGTGAGTGAGTGTGAGTGTGTGTGTGTGTGTGTGTGTGTGTGTGTGAGAGTGAGTGTGAGTGTGTGTGTGAGTGTGTGTGTGAGTGTGTGTGTGTGTGTGTGTGTGTGTGTGTGTGTGTGTGTATGTGTGTAAGTGAGTGAGTGTGTGTGAGTGAGTGAGTGTGAGTGGGTGTTCTGGTAATCATCACTTTGTGGGGACAAGAATCTGTTTACACAGTCACCTAATGGGGACCTCTTGCGTTGTGGGGACCAAAAATCAGGTCCCCATAAGGGTAACCCATTTAATTGGATAGTGGAACTGTTCTGAAGGTTCTGGGCGGAGTTTTAGCATTGGCCCATAACACATGATTATCAGGTAGTATGCGTGTGTGTAGCGGGAGCTCTGCTGCGCCCCCAAACATTTTTGGCTGGTAATGCACTCACTTTTCCACACACACATTTTCCAATTATGGTTGGGTACCGCCCACTTCCGGGTCCTCGTTAGGAAGGAGTTCGACAGCAACTTGAAAATACAAGTATTAAATTGATAACGTTACTTCACATGGAGGACAAAGAAGATTATTTACTGTAGATGCCAACTAAGGATCTGAACTTCTACAGAGGATAAAAGTGAAGCTCAAGGTAAGCACATATATTAAACCAATTAAGTTAACTGTTAGGTTAATTAGATTAGGCAGCGGGCTAGCTAGTTAATGTTAGTGCTAATTGTTGAGGCTAACGGTAAGTGTGGCCTGACATTTTCTCTGTTTTTCCAATAAGCGATCACATAATCATACAATTTAATGTTAAGGACTTAATTTTAACTGAAAAGTGTCGTCTAGTCTGACTGATTGCTAATGGAGGGATTCGGTTATTAAGTTTGTTTCTCTGTCTAGTTTGCGTTGGACGGTGGCTTATTTTATACTTTAAATTAAAGATATGTTTTATAGGCATATATATATATATATATATATATATATATATATATATATATATATATATATTATTATATACGTTAGCACTTATGTTTGACTGATCAGAAATTGTTTTTACATTTAAATGAACTCATAGGCAACATATACAAGCCACAGATCTTGACTAAAGTGCTTCACAGAGAAATGAAGTAACGTTAGGCTAAAATAAAACAAAAACTGACATGGAAAGTAGCTTTAAAAGAATAAATGAATAAACTTAGTTTTAATTATGACTGTAGTTAAAATAAACTGGGGTTTGTATGGTGAGCTCGTTCAAAAGAGTAACTTAGTTAGGTTAAGGACCAAATGAATAGTTAAATAATTGCCAAGGCTACCTGGGATTTTACAGATGTTGGTTTTGTGAGAGATTAGAGCCTGAGTGAAAATGGTGAGTTTATGCCCGCAAGGCTAGCATTGTGCCAGTCAATAAATCTGATGATATTATATTGTAGAGTTCAGATTTCTTGTCTTACATTGATACATACAATATCATTGTAATGCAGTAACATTACAATAACATTCTTATCTAGGCTACTTATTGAACATGCTAGTTGAATTCTGCATGTGTCCCCATTTTCAGTGTAATTTTTTTCACACTATTTTTTTCCTCTCAGTTTGAAATGCCACCACGAATCAGCCCCCTTAAGGATGCCATGCATCATGTTGTTTCAAAGACTGACAAAACATTCAAATTAGATGTGAAGTATATCAATGCAGTGAAAGGTAAGGTGGTGTGATTTTATCATTCAATATTTACCAAGATATGCATGTCCTAACCATAATCTTATGAGCACATTAATCAGACCTGAAATCTGTAAAAATCTGTTAATCAGAAAAAATCTGTATTTTGCAGGACGTGGTCTATTTGCAAAGGGTGACTTTTGCAAAGGTGATTTTGTTGTTGAGTACAGGGGAGATATGATAAATGATGCAGAACTGCAGAGAAGAAGAAAACGTTACCACGCATCCTGTGCTGCATTTATGTTTGATTTCAAGTGGCGAGGGAAAACATGGTGGTAAGAAGTCAAGTTGTACCAAAGCTATATTCCTTATGCAAAAAGATAGTAAAAATAAACTGATTTGTGGTGGTATATTGTAGTACTTGTAATCATCCTTTTCTCATGGTTTCATATTTAAGTATTGATGCGTCAAGAGAAGATGGATCGTATGGGCGGATCGTTAATGATTGTCACAAACATCCAAATTGTAAGATGAAGAAAATTGACGTCAATGGAAAGCCTCACCTTTGTCTGTTTGCCCTGGATGACATTAAAGAAGGAGAAGAAATTGCCTATGATTATGGAGGAGAAAACTACCCATGGAGAACACAAGTATGTTGCAAAGCACACTGTGGACAAAATAGCTCATATTTTGGCAACATGTGGCAAACAAGTTGGTTGAATGGATTATAATTTGATCTATTAGAAATCTATGAATCTAATTGATGTCTATTCCAATAAATTATATCCATATCCAATGTGGCATACAATGACCATGTTGCAACTAATGGGTGAAATATAATCACAAAAAAAAAACAATAATTAACTATGTAAAATGAATGTTTCACATTCTCAAACCATGTGGTATCTGCTTCAGATTTCTCTCTTGTGTTTCCATGATCTAACATCTTGTCATTTTGAATGTTGTCTCTTACAGATGACCAGCGCTCCTGTTAATACCAGCACAGCGAGTAACTCTGATCCTTCTCTCCAGTCAGAGACTCAGATGGATGATGAATCTGCTCAAATCAACTCTCCTCAACAGGTACGTTCACATTCATCACTAAAGATTTAGGTTTTTGTCATGGTGTAGTGATTTGTAAGCATATTTTGATGCGTATCTGCTGTAAATTAGTACATTAAACCGTTTTAGGACATGTGTCCAGTAGATTAGTGGCAGTGGAGTATTTAGGGCCAGTTTTATCCTTCAAGAGGATTTTTTTCTGCGTTAATTGTTGCATTAAAATGGACACTCACGACGTCCCCACAACACACTTTCAGTCAGTGTTTGAGCTCAAACCTGTGTTTTGAATTTGATGAAACTGGTCCCCATAAGGAACTATAACGTTGTGTGTGAAAGGTCCCCATGAAGCCGGTTTTAATCCAGATGTGTGTGAGCGCACACAGAGTTGGACTGGACAGGAATGCATGTTTTAGATGTAGTTGATTTGTCTCTCATTCTCAAACCATGTGGTATCTGCTTCAGATTTCTCTCTTGTGTTTCCATGATCTAACATCTTGTCATTTTGAATGTTGTCTCTTACAGATGACCAGCGCTCCTGTTAATACCAGCACAGCGAGTAACTCTGATCCTTCTCTCCAGTCAGAGACTCAGATGGATGATGAATCTGCTCAAATCAACTCTCCTCAACAGGTACGTTCACATTCATCACTAAAGATTTAGGTTTTTGTCATGGTGTAGTGATTTGTAAGCATATTTTGATGCGTATCTGCTGTAAATTAGTACATTAAACCGTTTTAGGACATGTGTCCAGTAGATTAGTGGCAGTGGAGTATTTAGGGCCAGTTTTATCCTTCAAGAGGATTTTTTTCTGCGTTAATTGTTGCAATAAAATGGACACTCACGACGTCCCCACAACACACTTTCAGTCAGTGTTTGAGCTCAAACCTGTGTTTTGAATTTGATGAAACTGGTCCCCATAAGGAACTATAACGTTGTGTGTGAAAGGTCCCCATGAAGCCGGTTTTAATCCAGATGTGTGTGAGCGCACACAGAGTTGGACTGGACAGGAATGCATGTTTTAGATGTAGTTGATTTGTCTCTCATTCTCAAACCATGTGGTATCTGCTTCAGATTTCTCTCTTGTGTTTCCATGATCTAACATCTTGTCATTTTGAATGTTGTCTCTTACAGATGACCAGCGCTCCTGTTAATACCAGCACAGCGAGTAACTCTGATCCTTCTCTCCAGTCAGAGACTCAGATGGATGATGAATCTGCTCAAATCAACTCTCCTCAACAGGTACGTTCACATTCATCACTAAAGATTTAGGTTTTTGTCATGGTGTAGTGATTTGTAAGCATATTTTGATGCGTATCTGCTGTAAATTAGTACATTAAACCGTTTTAGGACATGTGTCCAGTAGATTAGTGGCAGTGGAGTATTTAGGGCCAGTTTTATCCTTCAAGAGGATTTTTTTCTGCGTTAATTGTTGCAATAAAATGGACACTCACGACGTCCCCACAACACACTTTCAGTCAGTGTTTGAGCTCAAACCTGTGTTTTGAATTTGATGAAACTGGTCCCCATAAGGAACTATAACGTTGTGTGTGAAAGGTCCCCATGAAGCCGGTTTTAATCCAGATGTGTGTGAGCGCACACAGAGTTGGACTGGACAGGAATGCATGTTTTAGATGTAGTTGATTTGTCTCTCATTCTCAAACCATGTGGTATCTGCTTCAGATTTCTCTCTTGTGTTTCCATGATCTAACATCTTGTCATTTTGAATGTTGTCTCTTACAGATGACCAGCGCTCCTGTTAATACCAGCACAG